TTTTCCAGAGGTTTCATTTCATATTCCACAAGTATTTAGCATGATACCTCCTTAACAGAGCTGAAGAATGAGTTAATGATTTAAAAATAAATATTGAGACTGGTAAGAAAAGGTTAAGTACAGTCCTAGTACAGCTACTATGGAGGCTCAGTATTTGGGCTAAGACTGAGCAGACCCAATTCTTGATGTCACTGCATTAGCTTATGAGTTGTGTGATTCTGAACTTAGCTTCCCTGAGCCTCAATTTCTTCCCTGATAAAATACAGATAATAACACTAACTCACGTGTGAAGGGATTAAATAATTCACTTTGGTAGCACAATTCTCAACAAGAGTGGTTATAAACTTACTGTTGTGGGCTCTTCATACTGTATGACAATGAGAGGAAAAAAAAAATCTAGTTCTAGGAGCCAGGCACCATGGGGCATGACTATAGTCCCTGCTACTTGGGAAGTTAAGGCAGGAAGATAACAAGAAGCCAGCCTTAGCAACACAGTGAGATCCTGTATCCAAAAAAAAAAAAATCCGGATGCTGATGGCTCCTGCCTGTCATTCTAGCTACTTAGGAGGCTGATATCTGAGGACTGCAGTTCAAAATCAGCCTGGGCAGGAGAGTCTGTGAAACTCTTATCTCCAATAAACCACCAGAAAACGGGAAGTGGCGCTGTGGCTCAAATGTGTAGAGCACAAGCCTTGAGCTGAAGAGCTCAGGGATAGTGCCCAAGCCCAATTTAAGTCCCATGACAGACTGAAAAAAATGTACTTCCATTATTTCAGAATTCACTCTGTTCTTAGTTGACTTAGTTAGCAACAACAACAAAAAAATAGAGTACCAAAATCATGTTCATAAATATTCACTCTTCTTCATTTGAAACTAAAATTAATTGGTAGATAATCATCAACACTTCTCAACAGATTCCTTAAACAAAATGGGACAAGCTATTCAAACAGAATAAAAAGCTGAGGTCTCAGGGCAGACAAGCAGTGAAACATGAAGTTCTCTTTTAAAAAGGAAGTGAGATAATGGGAAGGTTTTTTTTCCTTTCTAAAAATAAAGTATGGCACACAGTATGAAAGAATGTTTATTAGGGATTTTTGCAATGTGGGAGAAGGAACCCATGGCCTCAAACATGTTAGAGAGATGCTCTCCACTCAGCCTCAAACATGTTAGAGAGATGCTCTCCACTCACCCGTCACCCATTTACTGGCTTCTTAATCCTGGAACCAATGCCCAGTACAGGAGATGGAACCCAGGGACCTCATAAGTGCTAAGCAAGCGCTCTTATCACTGAGCTACACCATCAGCCTAAATAAATATCTTGACTATTTAATTTTACAAAGTTATAGTTTAAATAGTAGTATGTTAGGCTGTCACAATCTAAGTATGATGTGTAGTGGATTCTATGGGACTAACAGTGCTAATAATAACATCAGCTATCAGTGCCAATTTTTTTTTTTGGGGGGGGGGGGTCTGGTCGTGGGGCCTGAACTCTGGGCCTAGGCGCTGTCCCTCAGCTCTTCAGCTCAAGGCTAGCGCTGTACCACTTAAGCCACAGCGCCACTTCCAGCTTTTTTCTTTTTGCTTATGTGGTGCTGAGGAATCGAACCCAGGGCTTCATGCATTTAAGGCAAGCACTCTACCACTGAGCCACCTTCCCAGCCCTATCAGTGCCAATTGTACACTTAGTATTTGTACAAATTTTCTTGCTTAACACCTTCACAATAAATCAATGATGTTGATAGATAAACTTATCCCCATAGACATAACATAACTGGGAAAACTAATGCTTTGGAAAACTAAGTAAGTTGCCGTTTAGTTAGTATGACAGAGTGTAGAGACTTCAATCAAGAATTGTTACCAGAGCCAGATGCCTGTAATCGTAGCTACTCAGGAGAAAGAGATCTGAGGATCACAATTTAAAGTTAGTCTCAGCTGACAAATCTGAAACACTCTTTGGTCTTTTTTTTTTTTTTTTTGATCTGGTCGTGAGGCCTGAACTCTGGGCATGGGCGCTGTCCCTCAGCCCTTCAGCTCAAGGCTAGTGTTCTACCACTTGAGCCACAGCACCACTTCCAGCTTTTTTCTTTTTGCTTATGTGGTGCTGAGGAATTGAACCCAGGGCCTCATGCATGCAAGGCAAGCGCTCTACCACTGACCTTCCCAGCCCCAAATCTGAAAGACTCAACTCCAATTAACCTGCAAAAAGCCCTTTGTGGAGCTGTGGCTCAAGTGGTAGAGTGCCAGCCTTGAGCAAAAAAGCTAAGGGAGAGCATGAAGTCCTGAGTTTGAACCCCAATACTAGCATGTACACACATAAAAAATCTGAAACTTGTTTGAGAGTGACAACATTATATGACTTTGCAACACTATCATCTTTAGGGTAAAAAAGAAAAGCGAGAAAGAATTAGTGATATACAGGTAATGATAAGCACTAAGAAAGTGAGAGCAAGAGGAAAGGGAAGAAAAAAAAGAAGAAAAGGAAGAATTATGATTGGCTAGTGGAGAACTTCTTAACAACTGGAACCCATTATCAAAGAACATTATGTAGGCCAAATTGAAAGAAAACAACCGTGTGAAGGGCTGTCAACACACAAATAGTGTCAACATACACACAAGACGGGGAAGTACAAATATAGCCGACTTGGCTCAGCTTTTCCTCCAATTTAAAATAGAAAAATAAAAAAAAGAGAGGTGATAAAATAAGCTTGACGGCAGCAGTTGGGAGACTGCTACAATTCTGTCAGCCTAAATAGTTAAAAGAACAGTAACCCAAACTTTGTCTCATATTGGTTTTTTTTTTAAAGCACCAATGCATGCAAGGGCTCTGATTTATAATTCCCTTCAATTCACTATTCATTAAGATATATTATCTGTGTTTCATTTGTGAATTCATATTCAGATATGAACTGGTATCTTAGTCTAGGTTCCCCATTTAGTTTTCATAAATGCACTGGTCAAATAAATCTGTTTGATAGTATCTTAAATGTGGGTTGGGAGACCTTTGAATAAAATATATCACAAAGAGGAAGTAGAGGTGTGGCTCCAGTGGTAGAGCACCAGTCTTGAGTGAAAAAGGCAAGTGAGAGTGCAAGACCCTGAGTTCAAGCCTAGTACCTGCACCAAAAAGAAAGCGGCTGGGAAGTTGGCTCAGTGGCGGTAGAGTGCTTCCCTCACATGCATGAGGCCCTGGGTTCAATTCCTCAGTACCACATAAGCAGAAAAAAGCAGGAAGTGGCGCTGTGGCTCAAGTGGTAGAGGCTAGCCTTGAGTTGAAGAACTGAGGGACAGTGCCCAGGCCCAGTGTTCAGCCCTCATGACCAACAAAAAAAGGGGAGAGAGAAAGAGAGAAATAGGAGAGAGAAGAGAGAGAAGAGAAAGAGAGAGAGAGAGAGAGAGAGAGAGAGGAAGAGGTAGAGAAAATGAGAGAGAAAGAGAGAGAGGTAGAAAATGGGCTGGGCTCACACCTGTAATCCTAGCTACTCAGGAGGCTGAGTCCTGAAGATTGTGGTTCAAAGCCAGCCCGGGCAAGAACGTCTGTGAGACTCTTATCTCCAATTAACTGCCAGAAAACTGAAAGTAGCTCTGTGACTCAAGGGGTAAAACGCTCGCCTTGAGCTGAAGAGCTGAGGGTCAGTGCCCAGGCCCAAAGTTCAAGACCCACAACTGACCCAAAAAAAAAAAAAAAAAAGGAAGGAAGGAAGGAAGGTATCACAGAGATAACTTCCTTTTGGTATTGAAGCATCCCCTTTCCCCCAAACATACAAAACAACTCTGTGCAGAACTGCTGCAGAGCTTATAAAGTGGCATCTGGGTCATACACACACACCTACCTTCTGCACATTCACATGGAATGCACCTAACAGGCAAAGCTGACTACAGGAACAGGCTGCAGAGTAAACAGTCTCACTTAGCCTGTCCAAGGCCAGCTACATTTCCATGTGGACAATTAGTAATTTCTAAAGAACAGGAGGTGTGTGTGTGTGTGAGAGAGAGAGAGAGAGAAACAGAGAGAGACAGAGACAGAGACAGACAAAGAGAGACAGAGAGAAAGAGGCGGGGCGTAGGGAGGGAAAGATAGAGAATGTCCAGGGGCTTGAATTCAGGACCTGGCCTCTGTCCCTGAGCTTTTTTGCTCAAGGCTAGTATTCTACCACTTGAACCACAGCTTCACTTCTGGCTTTTTGGTGACTGATCAGAGGTAAGAGTCTGCCTAGGCTGGCTTCAAACTATGATACTCAGATTTCAGCTAGGATTGCAGGTGCAAGCCACTGGCACCAGGCTTAAGAAGAGGAAGTTTTTTTTTAATTTAAATTTGTTTTACTTATTAAAATTATTTTAATAAATAAAATTTTATTTCTTTTAAAAATTATTGATTTATTTAAATTAATTTATTTAAATTTTTTATTTTTAAATTTTTTTTTTACATTTTTTGTTATTATATCTTTAACTAGGTGTACAGAAAAGTTCCCATTCTACAAAACGGTATATGAGTACAAGGTGCCTGACAACACTGTCACCCCTTGCTTCTAACCCATCCCTTCTCTCTTTTTTTAAAATTGAGATTAGATGATAACATAAATTTCACATATTTTACAGTATTGTGGGATAGTGATACTTAGTGAAAGTCACAAACACATTTAACCTTCACAAGGCAAATTGTCATTATCATGATCTATAAAGTGTGAATTCACTTCTAGCTTTTTGGTGACTGATCGGAGGTAAGCTTCTCATGGATTTTACTGCCCAGGCTGGCTTCAAACTATGATACTCAGATTTCAGCTAGGATTGCAGGTGCAAGCCACTGGCACCTGGTTTAAGAAGAGGAAGTTCTGCATATTCCTGTTTCTCTCCACAGCAATGCCACCTCAAAGAGAATCAATGCTGCCCACTTGGCTCCACCATGCCTGCTCTTTTTCTTTAAGCCAGAAGAGACTCCTGAAAGTGCATTGTCAGATTCTAAGACTGCAGCTCCAGGAAATAGAGCAGCTGAGGATACCTACCTTGTGAGTAGAGAAGGATCTGCATTTCTAAAAGTACACAGGTAAACACCTGCACTAAATTCTCTAATCCCAGGAGTTCAAAGGCCTCTCGAAGAGGGTAGTCAGAGAGGGGGAGTTCATTGGGCCCAGGCCGCTGACAGATGACAGGTTCATAAACACCATAAAACTTCAGGGATCTCCCTGGTGGCGGAAGGGGGACCTCATAGAGAATGTTATGAATGTAGCTCTCCAGTGGCAAGGGTGGGGGCTGCTGGGAAGTCACGGCCTTGTAAAGCTGGATGAGGAATTTCTTGCAGGCCTGCATGAAAGGCAGTGGCGTGATCAAGCATATGCTCTTGGACACATAGAGGGTGTCTCTGTGGATATCATAGGAGTTGTAGCGCTGGAGTTTCAGGAGGGACGTTGTGTCTCCCTCATCAATACTGCTTGCCAGGGAGTCCATGCTGCAGGAGGACGAGGCGTACAGGCCGCTGTACTGCTCGGCATGGTGCATCTGGTAGAGCGTCTGCATAGCCGTGCAAATCTGCTTGCTGCTTACTTCTTCATAAAAAGTGAGAACAAAACCATATGTGCGAGAACCATCTTCACGGGTGATTATAAATGAGTGGAACTGAGGGTCTTTATTGTCAGCCTGTGTTCTGAAAGACAGACCTTTCGGCATGCACAACTGTGGAGGAAGGGAGGAAAGGCATCAGAAGGCAACATACAAGCAACTTTAGAAAATAACAGGATTCAACTTATTTAAGGGGATTTGACTTTTGCAGGAGACTTCGGTTCAAACACATTATAGTCTGGTGCTAGTGGCTCACATCTATAATCCTAGCTAAGCAGGAGGCTGAGAGTTGAGTATTCAGGTTCAAAATCAGCCCAGTTAGAAAAGTCTGTAAGGTTCCTCTTTGAAATTAACCAGTACAAAGCTGGAAGTGAGCTGGGCACTGGTGGCTCACACCTGTAAGCCTAGCTACTCAGGAGGCTAAGATCTGAGAATTGCAGTTCAAAGCCAGCCTGGGCAGGAAAGTCTGTGAAACTTTTTTTTTTTTTTGGTTGGTTGTGGGGCCTGAACTCTGGGCCTAGGTGTTGTCGCTCAGCTCTTCAGCTCAAGGCTAGCACTCTACAACTTGAGCCATAGCACCACTTCCAGCTTTTTTTCCTTATATGGTGCTGAGGAATCAAACTCAGGGCCTCATGCACGCAAGGCAAGTACTCTACCACTGGAGCCACCTTCCCAGTCCCTGTGAAACTCTTATCTCCAATAAACTACCAGAAAATCAGAAGTGGCACCATAGCTCAAGTAGTAAAGCACTAACCTTGAGCTAAAGAGCTGAAGGGCAGCATCCAGGCCCAGAGTTCAAGCCCCACAACTGACCAAAAAAAAAAAAGATAGAAGTGGAGGTATGGCTCAAGTAAAAAGAAAATACATGGGCTGGGATGTAGCTCAGTGGCAAAGTGTTTGCCTAACAAGTGCAATGGCCTGGGTTTGATCCCCAGTACCAAAAAAGAGAAGATAAAAACAAAAGAAGGGAGAGGCTGGGAAGGTAGCTCAGTGGTAGAGTGCTTGCCTTGCAGGCATGAGGCCCTGGGTTCAATTGCTCAGTACCACATAAGCAGAAAAAGCCAGAAATGGTGCTGTGGCTCAAGTGGTACGAGTGTGAGCCTTGAGCTGAAGGACAGCGCCCAGGCCCAGAGTTCAGGCCCCCAAACCCACACACACACAAAAAAAATTTAAGTCTTGCTTTATACATGCATAAAAATATTGTTTAAAGAAATACACATATACATACATAAAAGGAAAAATATTTACTGTGTAGCTATTCACTGTGTGGAATGTTTAAGAATGAGATCTTTGGTTTGGTTCAGTTAAGCCTCTAATCAAGCTTGTGACCTGGAACAGGTCATGTAATTGCTCTGGGCCTCAGCTCCTGTCTTCAGGAGTTGCTACATCAAGAATTTGCAAGGCATGCACTCTACCGCTGAGCCACCTTCCCAGCCCCTACATCAAGAATTTGAAGACAGATCATTAAGTGTATTTTTTTGTAATTGTGATGGTGCTTCAGAGGAAATGGGAAATAGCTGAAAGCTTATTTGAAAAACGAAAAAAGAATTTAAAAAGAAAGGCAACTGGTTTCATCTTTGCTGTCTTGGAAAAACAAACTTTAAAATAAAAATCTTTGATTTACTGAAGAAGAGCAGAAGCAAGATATTTTAGATTAGCTATAATGGAAATTATGCTCTCCTTCTTGGGAACTACCCAGGATTGAGTCAAACTCAGGAACAAAATTACCCAAGGAGCTAGGAGATATATATAAAATGCTTAAAATGCATGAGAAATTAGAATTCCTTCAACTCTTCTAAATAAATTATAGAAAATCTGAAACATACTAAGAACAACAGAACTTTTAATTCTAACAAACTATGATTTGCTTTTATATATCTCTACTTTTTTTTTTTTTTTTGGTCAGGCGTGGAGCCTGAACTCTAGGCCTGGGCACTGTCCCTCAGCTCTTCAGCTCAAGGCTAGCACTCTACCACTTGAACCACAGTGCCACCTTCCGGCTTTTTCTGCTTATATGGTGCTGAGGAATCGACGGCCTCATGCATGCAAGGCAAGCACTCTACCACTGAGCCACCTTCCCAGCCTCCTCTACTTTTGTATTCTAACATGCCTTTTTTATTTTTTTCATTAATGAAGGGTGCTGGAGATTGAACTCAAAGCCTCACACTTGTACTCTACCACTTAAGCCATAGCCTCTGCTAGATGCTTTTTTACATAAACATAACTTTATCATACCCTATACTTTTCTAATACTTTCTATATTTAATAACCAAATCTGGTGCAAAACTTACAAGTTTTCCCAAGTCTCCACATTACTAAGAAAATGTAATTCATCTTTAAAGTTATAGATCCCCCACTCAAAGTGTGAGTAAATGTTTATTAAGTGCCTTTAGGAGCTAGGCCCTGTGATCAAGACACAGAAATGAGAAAGACTTGGTCCCTGCCTCTGTGGAGTTCCCAGGCTTTAAGAATGATAGTTGGGCTCTCTCTGCTCTTTTCTAGCTCTTTTCTCTCTTTCCCAGCTCTCTTTCCCAGGCCTTTCCCCACCGCGTGGAGGACCAAGATGGCCTGATGCCAGCTGGAACGATGAATAAACCTACCCCTTACCTGAATACCACATGTGTGGTGCAGTTCTTACTCAGCTACCTCTTTTTAAAAACCTAACATAAATGGTGCCGTGACTCGGATAAAGGGCTTAAAGTCAGGATAGCTGGGATTCCTCTCTGTTTTTTTTTCCTTTTTTCTTTTTCTGTTTGTTTTTCCCCTTTTGCTCTGAGGAATATCCACAGTTCTGATGGCCTTTTGTGAACCTGTCTGTCTGCTGCAGACACAGCGCATCGATACCATTGCTGGCCTTCACATCCACGTCCACACCACTTCTCTACTCTGGTGAGTGAAACTACTCTCTACGGCTCTCTGTTGCTCAGTCTCTGTCCAGATGTGGCGCCACGCCAGAGAGCTCCTACGGCCTTTAGCTGAAAGGCCGGTCACCTCTGAAGCCGAGGACGCTTGGTTTTGGGGGCTTGGCCATTTCTCTCTAGAGGGCTCTGGGTGAAGTTGGGACGCCGCTTCTGCCTGGTCAGCTCTCCTTTACTCACCAAACTGACTCTCCTACTCATTTAATGGGGTGCTGCGGGAATCACGCCTGAGCCGTGAAACCCCTTTGAAAGGCCTCCTGAGCTCCCTGGAAAGCCAGAGAGCCTAATTTTATGCCAGTCTCAGATGTGCATAGTTTTTGCTATTGCAATGGTAAATGGTCAGAAGTCTGTTTACTTTTGGGCTCTCTTTGCTCTCTGCCATTCATGTCCAACTTTCCTTATCTCTCCCTTTCTCTTTTCTACATTTTGGCTTGTGCCCTGAAGAGTATGATGCAGGCTGGGTCCCTGGGACCCCCCTCTAGGTTCCCTCTCAAGGGCTAGCCAATGTAGGCTTGATCTATTTGTTCAGGGTTTCTTTGCATTTTTTTCAGAAATTTGCCATCTTGGCCACATCTTGGTGGGTTAAGGGTTTGGCCCTATCTGGTCCTTAACCTTCCACCAAACTTACTACTCCATCCAGCTATTCTAAGGTGCCTTGCTAACAAGTTGCTCTTTTCACAAGCCCTGGTAACTGAGGCCCAATCATGTGATGTGCTTTGTTAGCAAAGATGTCTAAACACTGTTGTCAAAATTTTAGGTTTTGAGTTTTGCCTTTTTTGTTTTGTGTTGTGTATTCTACTGACTACATGGTTCTAAAATACTGGGCATATCTGTGCTAAAATTCTCATCACATCTAATGAGTTTTGTCATTTCAGAAAATTTGTTGGCAATTCTTGATAAGGAACAGGTAAGCTCTACTTATTCTATTTGATCTCCTTGTTGCTTTAATTGGAAATAATAAAGGGTTTTTGTGGCAAAGATTTCAGTTCAAAGCCAGCCAGAGCTGAAAAATCCCTAAGACTCCCATCTCCCAGCTAACCTGCAAAGAGCCTGGCTGGAAGCATGACTCAAGACTCTCATCTCTAACCAGCCAAACTCTGCAAGTGGTACTATAACTCAAAGTGGTTCAGTGCTGGCCTTGAGCAGACGTGCTCAGGGACAGTGCCCAGGCCTTGAGTTCAAACCTCCTTGAATACCAACTGGGACAAGCCATCCCAGCAATGAGCACCTAGACTCAGCCAGTCTGGGGAAGAGGGGAACATGGAGAGGAGTAAGAGGAGATGATGTCACATCAGCTACTTTGTGCCTGCCCTTTCAAAATTAACCAGAGCCAGGAGGTCAGTGGAAGTAAGAAGCCTGCCCATCCAATGTCTATACCTGTCTACCTATTAACTTAACAGGAATTTATATTCTTGCCTTTGTCATCTGACTTCTCTACCTAGTTGCCAGATGTCAGAAGTAGCCAGGGACATTTCTACCAACATTTTCAGCCCCAAGTCCTTCCTCTTGCCATTTATTTGCTCTCTAGTATTTTTTTTTCCAGCCCCTCAATGCTCATGAGACTTCTCCAGACTTCATCTAAGGACTCATGCCACCAAGGGACAGCTGCTGTTCACTGCCTTCTCTGGGAGGGGATCAAATTCCAGCCTTTTACCCCTATTGTCGACGCCCCTTGTCAGCAGGAAGTAGCCAGAGAGAATCTGTGCCCTATTTCATGATTATTAAAAGGCTGGAATGTAAGGTCAGCTCCTGGATGGCTAGCAGACTCCACCCTCCTCGCAGCAAAGTCTCCACCCAGTACTTGTGTTACCTAGGCAACTGGGACAACTGGAAGAGGTCACATCTGCATCCCCTGAGGTCACATCTGAATTTGATGTGGCCACACCTTTGTCTGCCCATACCCTAGATAAGGCCTAGCCCAGGCCCAGACGCCCTCTCTCTCTGCTCTCTCTCTACTCTTTTCTAGCTCTTTTTTCTCTTTCCTCTCTTTCCCAGCTCTCTCTCTCTCCCAGCTCTCTTTCCCAGGCCTTTCCCCACCACCTTGAGGACCAAGATGACCTGCTGCGAGCTGGAATGATGAATAAACCTACTCCTTACCTGAAAAAAAAAAAAAAAAAGACAGTTGGAAGTGCAGGCCTCTATGGGGGGGAAAGAAACAGTAAGAAAAGAGAATTATCAGGTAAAAATGAAGTTCAA